CCCTGGGGGGTGATTTCTCGCTTTTTGTCTCTATGTCTCTGTCTGTCTGGCGAGCGCACGCGCCCTATAGTGAAAATCTCTTAAAAAAAAAAAAAAAAAAAAGCTCTTTCTGGTGAGCACATACTCCCTATGGCAAAAGCCTTAAGAAAGAAAAAGATTATATGTGTGTGTGTGTATAAAGAAATAAAACTAATGGTAATACATAATAATCCTTTAAAAAAAATCAATCCCAGGTAATAGGCCCACCTATGCCACGCATACTCAGAGAGGTATCAGGGTGCAAACTCCCAAACTTCCCGGGTGGGTCAGTCTCACAGGGCTTGTGTTTTGCCACTGCACCACTGTCTGGCCTCAAGATCCTATCTTTTGATTCATATCTTACGAAGTTTTACTGCACTGTAACCCTCCGCCTGTTTTCCCTCATGCAAAAGAAGGCCAATAGTGTGTTGAGGCCACATTCTACTCTCAATTTCAGCCAGCCCCAGATTTTTTTTTTTCTTTTTTGAGAGGTTTTTGCTATAGGGCGTGTGCGCTTGCCAGACAGACAGAGACAGACAGAGAGACAGAAAGCGAGAAATCACCCCCCCCCCCCGGGTGGATGGCCATGCCGCAATCCCTTCTCCTCCCTTCTCCTCTCGGGATCTTGGGTATGCACACACACGCACCTGGCGTGAATTTAAGCCACCGGGTCTGGGACTCGAATCGTGGTCGACTACATGGGAGTCCAGCAACATAGCCATTACGCTAACTGCTGGTCCCCAGCCCAGATTTGGGGCACAAATGTACCTGCGATACTCTGGTATGTCTGGATGCAAACCCAGAAACTTCCTATGTGGGTCAGCTTTGCAGGATGTCATGTTTCAATGCTGCATCACTGTCTGGCCTCAAGATACTGTCTCTTGATTCCTATTTGTGAAACCTTTACTGCATTGTAGCTCTCAGTCGGTTTCCCCTTGTGTAAAACAGGACCAAGTAAGATCTGCTACCTCTTCTTCTCCAGGGTCACTGAGACCATATCTTCTGCTTCTTGTCATTTGGGAGGAAATGACCTCAAACTACATGTTAGTATAGAAACTCTAACAATATGTCTAGCAAACAGGGAGTTCACAACAATAATACTAACCTATGCAACCTCTGCAAAGCACTGTATTATTTCACGTGAGTTGACTTAATTAATTCTTGTTTAAAAAACCTTACTAATTAATTGCATTTAAAAATGAGAAAATGAAGGTTTAGAGAAAATTATCTTCCTTTCCTATGAAATCATTTTTTAATTTATTTCCTGGAGCAATGTGTTTAATGGAAAAATTGAACTTTATTATTTATTTATTTATTTATTTTTCATTTCATTATTTATTTAGATGTTTAAGCTCTCACACTAAGTTTTTACAAGCCGGTGAACACTGACAAATTATTTCTCCCACAGAACTATAACCACACATTCCCAGACAGTATAAATATATGGTTGAACTAACATTAATACGCATCACTATTTTATCAATTACATAATAAAACAAATTATCAAGTATCCAAATATTAAGTTAATACTTAAGCTCAAAAGGCATACATAATATTAGAAATCTGCTTGATTCATTAGCAGAAACCTACTTTTTTTTTTTTTGCAAGAGGTTGGAAAGAAAAAAAATCACTTCAGACAAAGTTGGTAAACTTCCATTAAGTATGGAACAAAATAAGAATTTCAGAAATTTTATGAGTAAGAATTGTTTTAGCTACAACAACAAAGCATTTCTACCTTTAAAAAA